ATCATTCTTTCCTTAATGCAACAAGAAGAAAAACCAGTGACAAATATAGGTGTATGGGCGCAATTTGAAATACACAATTATAACAATTTCTGTACAAAGACTATATGTCATATTAAGAAAATACTTAAGTTTTAATCAACACGTGGTTGGCAGAAATGATAAACATGATTAAGTGATCCACTTTAGTTCACGATCTGTGCCTTAATTTGTACTATGAAAGATTGTCCTGTCTTCATAGCACTTTCTATAAATTTTATTTTTATTGTCTATGTGTCAAATTTATCAAAAAGATATTTTTTAGCTTGAAAAAAAAAGACGAGACAAATATAGCAAAAGTTAATCAAATTAAAGAGCTTTAAAACCTCATCGATGCTGGGTATATTGTGAAAAACAAGACCCAAAAATAACAAATGCCAGTGATATAATGTTTAAACAATTTTTGTCCTAAAACTTATATTCTTTCAAAGCATACAAGGTGTTGCTGTAAATTTTTTTGTTTCTTTGCACATAACTTTTAAATGAAAGCTTTAAGATGTAGAAGATGCAGAATTTAACGCTTCAAGATAAAAGATATCTTTATACAGCAATCCTAAAAACAATTCTTTTGAAAAAAAAAAGTAACAGACAACACAATCGATTTCATTTCAGATTTTTTGGTAAATTAGACAAAAGAAAGTTTACAAAAAGAAAACAATTTTATTAACAATTCAAATAGATTCAAGATTTAAACAAACTCTCAAGAAAATTGTGTATATGTAAAAGAGATCATTTGAATTAACATTATAAGAACAGCAAATGTGCATCTAGGTTTTAAAGTACTTGTGTTAGGTTTTTTTAACAAAAAGAAGAGAGGAATTCTTGAAGTAACTGCACCTTTTGAGTAAAAGTGTTCACATTTATCCACGCCTAGCTTTATAAGGCAAACCATACTTAGTGATGGATTACGATAGGCAACGAAGTGTTATAAGGCATGTCGGTACGGCTCTTTCTAACAAACACGTCAAATGAAATAAATTTACAATTATATTTGCTTTCATTTGTTAAATCACTGAACGATTAAAGAAAAAAATGAAATCGGTCTTCAAAAAATAAAAAAAAAGATAAATAAAATTCAGGAATTATTCACAGCGAATTTTTGGCGTACAAATAAAGGACAAGATTTCCACTTTCTTTCTTATACAGTGGAAAAAAAAACTATGAATTATAAACAAATACATTTTCTAAGAGTAGGAATTTGCTTTAATGGTGTAGTTGTTGCAACACCCTCCAACTTATATGTTGGCAAGTTTATAGCAATTTTGGAGATCGTTGCCAAAATACTAACCAGGACAAAATTCATTTAATATAAACTTACAATCCTGTTTGCAGGTAATTAATACACCCGGAACATTTCAATCACAAGACCACAGAAGCCATCTTAATGATGTGTTTAATGGTGACACCTAAATAACATCAGATATCCCGTAACACAATAATACGGTTACCGGCACGGCATATATTTCATTCTATTGTTTAAGTATATGATATAAATGATGAAGGAATCTAGTCGTAAAAGCTAGTCAGGTAAACACCTGCATAAGGTTGATTGAAACTGCCTATAAATTTAAGAAGGAGACCCATCTCCTTTAATACAGCATTCTCTTATTTTGGAGGGTTTTTGTTAAAACGTTTTTAGTGTCTAATATCACAATGACATGACCAGACTTGTCTTATTCTTGTGTACGCTTCTTATCCTCTTCGCATTGGTCTTGCTTTGCTGTGTTAATTACTCTACAATTGGAAAAACCATATTAAGGATTTTCATTCATAAATATGAAACTTTTACAATGACTTATTTCCATAATAAAAAGACAGCTTAACACGGCGCTCTTCATGCGATTTTTGCTTTATATATTACTGCTGTTGTCGGATCCTCTTTTTTGTGTTGGAAGGCGCGCGTGTAATGTTTACGATATCGAATGGCTTTTGTATGTATAGTATGTAAATTTGTTTTTTATATCATTCATGGGGAGCAATGAGGTCGTCTGCTGCATATATAACTGCTTGTTAATTCAAGTGTGGAAAATATTCTCACGGGGTTAGAATAAATAAGCATAATTTCAATGAATGTGGTGGTGTGAAATCCATAACATTCATAATATATACGTCTACATTTCAGGCAAAGCTATAAAGGATTTTAAAAATTGAGCTTTTTCTATGAACAAATAATTGCATTCCTCGACAAGTACTGCTTAAGCCAATGGATGAAAAAAGAACTTGATCTGGTTTTAATCAGACAGTTTCTAAATAGACAACAGACAGTAAATTTGAGCAAATATAATTAACAACATAAAGCAAAAGCGTTAAGCAATTATTTTGAATAGTACTTAAAGTTTGAAATTAAAATGTGACTATTTACCTTGTAAACGAATATGATGTACAAGACATTTGGGAAACTTAAAAATGAAGTACTGCAAAGAAATTCCATCATTTAATCAAAGTTAATAAGTTACATGTATATTCCTTCAAAGATTCAAGACCTCTAACATGTATAAGCATTATAGACTCTTAAAGGCATACCCCCAGATTGCTAGATGTAGTAACACTGATATAACTACATTTGTCTTACATGTGTATCTACAATTGTGAGATCATGTTTGATCCAATTTTTAAACCCAAAACATGAACAACTTTCACCTGCAGGAAATGACTGAATTCAAATTGAAAACTTGAAAATGTTTCAAATTGACCCATCTTAAAATTGTTTTTCAAAAGAAAAAAAGAACATCTTTGCTGTAGTCATTTCCTCTTACTCAGGGTCTGTTCTTTTTTGCTAGCCATCTTTGACCAAAGACTTGCCTACATAAAGGAAATAACGAGTTTGTTCTTGGTTAATGTTAAGTTTTAATAGGAAGAAGAACTTGTAAATTGCAGAATACCTTGCAGAGAAACGTTCTAAAATGCACCAGAACAATGAATCATCCACCACAATTTTATTATTTACAAACAATTGTGACATAAACGATGCAACGTGTACAGATTAGGTAAAGTCTGAAAGTCGTTTAGCTCCCTGGATAAGAGTAAAATGACTTAATAGCTAGTTATTACATCAGTGGAGCTATTGTCATACAAAGCCCAGAGCAACTTCTTCTGTTGCATAAATCAGAATTACCAACCACAGAACGCTCAACTAAACATGGAAGCTGCGTTTTACAAACCGCCCCAAGATCGACATTAAGTTCTAATTTCACTTATTCGTGTTAAGTGCCATCTAAGAAATATTTAATGAATGACAAGTCGGACTTAGATTGTGGCAGATGGGAGGCTTTAAGTATTTTCTCAATTTTCCCCTTTCGTTGGCAACGATGTAAGAGATAAATTAGTTGACAAGGGTTCGATGCTGAATTGCCCCTATAGGCCGTGTAAAATTGCAAACAAGTCCTCAAATCGCTCTACACATCCTTAATTCTATGTGACACGAAGTAATTATGTTATGAAGTTTAACAGAAAATCAAGGGAACTGATATTATTCGAAGAACAATGCTGCCTACTGCAAGGCTTTAAATTGTTGAAAATTACATAATTTTGGTATTGTAATGCAGCAAATATCCTGTAACTTTCCTTGTTATAGGGTTTTTTAAAAATAGAATATGCATTAATTTTTAGTGTTAACTATGATAAATGTAGTAAAAGAGTACTCAGAATTCCCCAAAACTTATAAAACTTAAAAGACTTATAAAAGAAGTACTTTGCTTGTATTGTCTTAATATCTGTCAAGGGTATATGTATGACAAACTTTTAAATCTATATTGAAAATTCAAATTGCACACAATTTTCAAAACGTAGAAAATAAAACTTTGCCAAGCAGAGAAAAATACGTACAAAGTTGATACCTAAAAATTGCAATTAGTGAATAAAATGAATATAATGTATAATGAATTCTCATTTTAACCTTCTGAATAAAACATAATTTCAAAAGATGTTGTTATATTGCACTCTTTTCAATTAATATTCGATAATGTACATTAAGCAGCTTGTGACTTTTTGTAACTAGATCAACTGTAAAAAGTAACATTCGATTGATATTCGCATGTAGATGCTTTTATATAAAATCCATGTGCACAAGTGTGTTATGATTTTTAAAAATACTTTTATTCAAATATACAATTTCATAAATCCTGCTTACCAAACAAACGATTATTTCTTTTTTTCCTTTTTACACACTATACAAAAAAAAAAAAAATCATTTCAATTTGGATGAATTTATCTTTCTGTAAAGCAAAAACACTTTTCTTGTCTATTTATCCTTATCCAGAAGTATAGGAAGAACTGTATTAAATTTTATAGACCTATTAAACTTTACATCAAAGCTTTGAATCTAAAGTTTTTTCTGCATGCTTGTTCCTTCATAATAAGAACATAACTGTAAGTTATACTTCCATCGTTCTTCTTACCCTATAAATTGTGTAGCATGACTTATTTGATCAAATCTGGTTTGCAAATGAGAAGTTTTCTTTCTACTCTTTTTTGCATATGATCACCATTAGAAATCAAAGTATATAGAAGAGGAATGTAGGGAGAGTATCCTTCCGCTTATTCTTAAACGTCTCAGGAAAATCGCCATTGATTAGTGTATTCTGTGTAAAATATTAATACAGTTTCACGTCGAAATGATAGAAAGCCCTTGCTTCATTACAATTGCAAATGTGAAATCTGAATTGCACTCACAAAAATTTTGCATAACACTGAATGTTAATAGGAAATAGCACATCAGATTAACACTAGTTGCGAAAGAGGATGGATTCACGAACGGGGATGGTAACCAGAAAGTAGAATAACCTGTAAACAATACCTGTTTTTGAAAGAATTTGACGAAAAAGTGCAGTTTGTCCAGGGCGGGAAACCAGGTCAAGAGAGAAAAATATGTAAATCTGATGTCCTTCATTAAGTCAGCTCACGGTACTATTTAATCCGCCGAGGGATGTGGTCAAGGAATCCGTGATTTTTAAAGTGTTAAACGCTGGACATTCAGTGAATTCGGATGCAGAAACACGTCGCAGAAGAAGAATGGACTATGACACAATTTGTCTCGGTTATGCAGACGGAGATTTCTAAACGCAAGTGTGACATACATCAATCAGCGTTCCTACCTGTTTATAGGTAAATATCTGCATATTTTCGACTCCTGTCTTTTTTCATAAATTTAAATAGTAGAAAATTTAAACTAGATTACCATTTTGTAAGAATTCTCAAAGATGGAATGCATGATCTATATCCTGGCGCGCATGCGTTAACGTGATAAATGAGGTATATTTAATAAAAGGAGAAATTAAACATACGAAAATGTTTAACTTAGATGGTATGTAAAAAAAAGTTGTATTGAATATGATTTGAAATGTTAAATATACATCGGAGGGTAAACTATGAAAAGGTAGATAGCAAATTCTTCAGAAAAGTAATGCGTCAGTGGAGTTAAGTTTCAAAACATTTTGTATAAAACTCATAAAGGGAAATATAAACTTCATATCGCACAAACTGTCTGCGTAATCTTTATCAGATTTAACAAACGAATGTCAATTTTTGCTTCCAGGTTTTAAATTTCACACTTCAGATGATTTCAGTCGCAAAGATTTTTAAAAGATTGTCTTTTAAAGCATGCATATAAAATGCAATGGACCATTTAACTTTTCATCTTATTTTTCATCTATATGAGCGCTTTCTATGCCGTGGAAATATAAAGGGTCACAGGACATAAATATGGCGGTGAACTGGCAATCTGAAATGTTCTATCTTGTCATTTTTTGATAATTTGAAATATGGGGTGTGGTGACTTTCGCTTTTATTTCAGAAGGAACTTTAATCTGGAAAGGTATTGGATGTTCTACCACAATCCATTTGCGTTAAATTATGTTAAGATCTTTTTTTTGGCACTGATTAGTTTTAATTCGGTCAATTTTTTTCCTATTAACTTCATTTAGTCCAAAATCAGTCATTCATAAAATAGAAAAGTTATGATAAAGTATCTTAATGTAGGAAATTAAAAAGTATTTCCAATTACAAATAATTTAAACCTTCCCAATTATAACCCGGTATATATAAATTACTTTAGAATTAAAATGTAACAGTTTCATAACACTTAAAATATTATTTATGGATTGAGTATTTTCATATCTTGACCCACAAATGAAACTGAAATTTGAAAGCCTAAGAGCATGGATCACAAGACAAATAATAAAAAAGATACTAACGTCTTTAAGATCCTTAGAGGGCGCAAAACAATGGAAAATTAAAAAAAAGTTTTAAAAATCCTGTAATAAAGCATCTTCAACAATATCCAGATTTCGTGACAAGTTGTTATAAAGTATTTCGCCATAAAACAAAGAAGACATTAAAAAGTTTGAAGATGATTCAGACTTCCCCATAGTTCTACTGAAAACAATACTCTAGCTCTCCTCAAAGTTGCCTTTTGGTAACCTTTCTCTAGCCTTTAAAATGTTATGTCAAAGCCATTAGGACCAAGTGTTGAAATGTAATACGATAGAGCGTTTCTCAGGAAGTTAGCCTGAAGAAAAGACATGGCAAAAACACCTCCCGACAAAGCCACCCTGCTGACAAGCGATTTATTTCCCGTATTAAATATTTCCATTTGATGTGATGCCCGTTAAAGCAGAGATGAATTTATTTCTTATCAATGGCCTCCAATTTAGGAGACGGTTGGTCGCAAATGACATTCTGTGAAGAATTTGGAGGAAACAAACTAATTAAACCCTAAAATAGAGAAGTTTTTCTCCTTCAAAGATTTTCTAAATGGCAAAATCGTTGTTCAAAATGACTCCACTGTATTTCTTTGACGATGACTTCAATTCAGCAGTTCGTTGTGATGGTGATCTAAAGATCTCGTAAGAGTACAATTGTTTAATGAAAAAAGTCATTATTTCACGGTATATCTAAGGCAACATGGCAAAATGTTTCTCTCAATTACCGTATAATAGTGTCTGATAAAGAAAAAAATATCCCACTTTTCGATGGACGTCCGTATCGAATCTTGTAATGAAAATTGGCATTGTTTAAATCGACTGAATAACTGCATTTTTCGAATGTCTTGTGCAAAATACACACATGGAATACCTTCCAGTATGGATCCACAGGATTGCATTCTTGAATAGTAAATCAGTCCTTGAATTTTACGATAGACAGTGTTGAAGATGTTATCTCAAATTACATATCATTACAAATATTGCTATTGTGAAAGTAGGTTGTACGAATTTCAGGACAAAAACACATTAAGAGAAAGCAACTGGATCCCAATGATAGGGATTAGACTTTCGAAATCATCTGATATAAACATAGGCCATCTTTCCCTTATTCTTTTCTTTTTCAAGAAATCGGATTTTCTCCAAGATTATTAAAGCTTACAGAGAAAAAAAAACTTTGTTACAGAGAAGAAAAAGAGTTAACTTTGAAAGGGGAAAAATATAAATCGCCTTGGAATCACCTCTTGGCCAACTTTTCCGGAACAATATGATTTCCAGTCTTTGAACGGAAGTTTTATTCAGGCAATGTCTTGACAGACTCAAACATCATCCGTCTTTTGAAGGGTCGTCTTTGTTCACCATCGATTTCTGAGAGTAGCCCATAATATCCATATCATAGGATTACCGCTTTTCAGAACTCTCCACTCAAAGGAGGTTCTTTTGGACGCCCGTTTTTTCTAAAGGAACAAAGTCAACACGATGTGGCGGCCCTAATTGAGCGAAGGAAATATTTTTAATTTAATCTTGGGGACTCGCAGATCAATTGTGCTTCTTTAGGAATATAAGGCAGAGAGAAAACCTATTGATATAGACCGATAAAAACATGTTGCACCCTGCATGTGTCTACATTTTCTAATATAAATCTATATCTCATTGTATTTTAATGTTTAATTCATCAATGCAGGAAAATTTGTTAAAGGTAAAACATCCCTTTTCTTATTTGAAAGAAAATTCAATAGAGTCCATTCTGTGTCACAATAGGCTTGGCAATATCGTGTTGATTATCAAACCAGAGTTCATAAAAATGGTTGTATAGGTTTAATACTACGTACACGTTTATTATAGGAATTGTTAAGGTCAAGGAAAATCTGTGTTCAATTCTGAGCAATTAGCTTCAAGGTCGTCGACAATATATTTGATGCAATGAAAATACATTGTTGTACGAATTTGTTTTGCAGATCGTCAATAATTTTAATGTACACGTGGGTGTCAGACGAAAGAAATAATAATATCCTTAGCACAAGGAAAGGTCAACTTATGTTGATTTTTAAAAAAAATAATACTATGTAGCATATAATATAATACTTGGTCTATTTTTATTCAGTGTTTTGCAGGTGATACAGAACTATTTACGAGAAGCGACAAAAGAATCCCATCGTCTTTTGAAAATACAATACTCAGCAAAATTACACATTTCTTGTTAAACTCAATACGTCCCCAGCGCACCTGTTGTATATAATACTTGGAAAAGTCCTCAAATATCTCGGTTTTTACTATTTCAATTTTTACAGACAAATTCCATTACGTTTAACTTTATGTTAAAGCTACGTATAGAAATCGTAAAAACTCCTTAATTGTACTTTGAAAGTTGGCAAGTGAAAAGGAAATCGGGCGTACTATGTTATCAGTCTAGGAATAGAAATGACAGCGACTGAGCTTAAACTTATCCCAGAATCCTTAACTACAGATAATTATAACACAGTTAACTATATCAGTTGTCAAAGAAGTGTTTGGATGATTAACTTAATAACTACTCAGTGATCTCGGCTTTCTGTTATGTGATGGGTGGAAGTCTTATACAATGATTTTGTTTTTGCGAAGATCACAATTTTGTGCGGTTGTAAAAATCTAATAAAACATTAAGGAAAGAAAACCCCCAAGTCTATCTTGAGATATTTTTTCGGTTAAAACGCATCAACAGGTGTTGAACAACAATGAAAAGCCGCCTTATATGAAAACACTCCATTAAGGGCCAAGCAGGAACTTGCAACAAAAAAATAATATCCAAACCTGTCCCGACCTTCTGTGGCCAGAACGCTACAACCGGGGTCTAATTTCAACCCCTCTATTATTGTAAGAGATAGATTTTCAATAGAATTTACGAAAAGAAGCATGTTGACACAGATTATAAGGGGAGACCCGTGGATACTTTGTGTTGGATGATATTCGGCACTCTGGCAGATGATGTCGATGTATTTAGCTCCGGGACACCTTTAATAATTTAGGTCTTCATCTTACCCCAGTGTTAGCATTCAGAAAATATAAATCTTTCCAAGGAATTGCTTCTTTCAAATGTCCTTTACAATCTTCTTGTAACTCGGTAATGTAGAGCAGACAGTCTGTCTGTGACTGAAGAATAAAAGGTCTAGATTCTTTATTTATAAATTTCTTTCAAAGTTTTGCATTCTAACCTGAATGATGTATCTTAAGTGATAAATGCATGTGCTTGTATAGATCTGCAAAGGTTTGATTAACATTGATACATTGAATAACAAATATCCGCGTGTAAAACAAAAACGAACTCGATAGAATTTTTTAATAGTGAGGTCATAAGATACGAAATATAGTTTATCTGATTCTGAACAATGTAAAGTAGAGTACTCTCTGTGAAAAAGTTATTAAGGTATAACAAAGGATTTTATCACACCGAGATTATCGCGGCCATCTTGCCTGTGAAACCTTTCTGCCCGAGGTACATAGAAAAACGTACCTGTTTGTGAAACGGAACATTTTCTGAAAGTGCGTACATTTATCATTATTTGTAAGTTAAAGCCATTATTACTATTTTTCAATTTTCAGTTTCATTAGATATTTTAGAGCCGACTAACAAAACAGAACATTGCTTTTTCTATATGTTTTATGTTTAGTAAAAGCATTAAATATATAGTACACGTGGGCTGATCAGTTGAAAAAATGCTATACTTCTTTAATCGAAAGAATCCCGAAGGAGACATCGCAAATGAAATAACCTGGATAGAAATATGTTACAATGCTATGATTTAAAATATATATTTATTCAAATTAATGAGCTGGATTGAACAGCATACATAAATGCCTATCATTATTCTCTCCATACCCTATTAAAATAGACTCTGCAATGCAAAAGAGCTGCGCATCCTTCACCCT